TATTGTGCCTGATCTCGATCTTTTACTAACGTCGCACTTACCGCGAAGTCCGACACTGCCAGGTAAAGGGTGAGGACTTCTCCTTTCTGAGGACTTACTAGCACCGGGGTGGAAGCTAGGTAACTCTTGAGAGCTTTAAAGGCCTCTTTGCATTTCTCGTCCCACCGAAAGGTTGCTTTCAAGACCTTGAATAAAGGCAGACACTTATCGCTGGAGCCCGACACAAAACGGTTGAGTGCCGCTATTTTGCCTCTCAAGCGTTGTTTTTTCCCGTGTGCTGGTGGGTGCTTTCATATCTAGGATGACTTTTACTTTCTCCGGGTTGGCTTCGATGCCTCTGCTGTTGACTATGAAACCCAAAAACTTTCTGGCTGACACCCCGAACGCACACTTTACTAGATTCAACTTTATTTTATATTGTCGCATTATTCCAAATGCTTCCCTGAGGTGGTGGACATGCGCCTTTACTTTAAGCGACTTTACGAGCTTGTCGTCAATATATACTTCCATAGTTGAGTTGAGCTGTTCCCGAAACATCCTGTTGACCAACCTTTGATAGGTGGCTCCGACGTTTTTTAATCCAAAAGACATAACCTGATAGCAAAAAATCCCATGCTCGGTAATGAACGAAGTCTTTTCTTGGTCGTTGGGGTCCATTCTGATTTGGTTATAACCTGAGAACGCATCCATAAAGTTGAAAAGCTTGTGGCCTGCCATAGCGTCGACTATCAAATCAATTCGGGGCAGTGGGAAACTATCCTTGGGGCAGGCCCGATTTAGGTCAGTGAAGTCGATGCAGAGGCGCCATTTACCGCTTACCTTCTTCACAAGCACGACGTTGGCCATCCAGGTCGGATAGTCGACCTCCCTAATGGCTTTAGCCCGTAGCAGCTTTGCCACATCTTCGTTGATTGCTTTTTGTCTTTCTGGAGTGAAGCTCCTTCTTTTATGTTTCACGGGCTTGCAGTGGGGGTCCACGCTAAGGCGGTGGACAATCACAGCGGGATCTATTCCCTCCATGTCCTCCTGCTTCCAAGCGAACGAGTCTAAATTTTCCCTTAGAAGTAAAATAAGCTTTTCTTTAATCACAGGCAGCAGCATGGAGCCAATGAATACTACGTGATCTGGGTTTTCGTCTAGCTACACTGGTTCCAGTTGCTCGGAGGGGGTGGGCCTAGTTTCCAGCTCGTCCCTCATATCCAAGTCTTATAGCTGGACTGATTCCACCTCCTTCTGCTTCATCGATGCCACATAGCATTGTCTGGCGAGGCACTGGTCACCCCGGACCATGCCAACCCCATTTTCAGTGGGGAATTTCATCACCAGGTGATATGCCAAAGGTACTGCCTTAATTGAGTTGAGAGATGGTTTTCCTAGCAAGACATTGTAGGTGGACGGCGTGTCGATGACAAGGAAATGAACGGTGGTTGTGACCTAGCAAGGTTGGTCTCCCACTGTCAGGATGAGCTGAATAGTTCCAGTCGGCAAGACCTTTTCTCCTGAGAAACCCAAGAGGTGGGTTTTCACGAGCTCGAGCTGAGACCTTTCTATGCCGAGCTGGTCGAAGACTGTTAGGAAGATGATATCCGCCGAGCTCCCATTATCGACGAGCACTCGGTGTACGATTTTGTTCGCAACGATCGCCTTTATGACCAGAGGATCGTCGTGCGGGTGTTGGCATCCTTCGAGATCTGCGTCAAAAAAAGTGATCTCCACGTCTTAGCGGGGTGCCTTAGCGACGACTTGGATTGCCAAGAAGTCTGGCGAATAGGCTCTCTTGGCGTGCGCTTTCTGTGCAGAACTCAATTCTCCGCCTCATGCGAAGCCTCCCGAGATGACTCAAATTTCGCCCAGCACTTGTTGGTGTTGCTGAGGTGCCGCTGCAGTAGCTCGGGCTTTTCGCCCTTGATTGTTATGTGCTCTCCCTTCCCCTGCTACGTACTAGCGCAGGTGGCCTCTTTGGATCAAGTATTCTATCTCTTTCTTGAGTTGGATGCAGTCGTCGGTCTCATGCCCGGTATCCTTGTGGAAATCGCAGTACTTGGAGGGGTCTCACCTGCTAGGGTCGAATTTCATTCGTGGCGGCCACCGAATGAACCTCTCTTTCTGGACTTCGTGGAGGACCTGAGCGATTGAAGTTACTAGTGGTGGAAGGCGCGCTGGGGCGAACTGTGACTGCAAGTCTTATGGGGGCGGTCCTAGTCGATCTCGGACGTTGCCTCTCCTTTTGGGAGAGGGCTCTCTTCTTCTCCTAGGTGAACGCTTTCGCTTCGGAGATCGATCATGTTTCCCCTATTTCCTGGGACTGTGGTCCTTTTTCTTTTTGCTCTCCTCAACTGGTGCTGAGCTTCTTTTCAAGCGGAGAGCTTCTTCTCCATTAATGTACTTCTCGATTTTCACTAGCACCTCAGTCATAGTGGTCTGAGGATTCTTTGCTATTGAAAATAGGAGATCCTTGGATTGAAGCCCGAGTCCCGACATGAAAGTTGTCAATGCAAACTTATCGTCCATGCTTTCTACCTTCAAACATTCCTGGTTGAAGCGTTGAACATAGCTTCTAAGGGACTCGTTGGGCCCTTGCTTGACGCTCAGAAGATGGTAGGATGGTTTTCTGTATGTCCTTGCTCCAATGAAGTGGGAAATGAACTAAATGGACAATTCCCTGAAAGAGGAGATTGATGCTAGTTACAGACGGTTGAACCAGGCTATCGCCGACCCTTTGAGGGTGATGGTGAAAGCCCGACAGTGTATTGGGTATGGGTACCCTTGAAGCTCCATCTGGTTTTTATAGGAGTTCAGATGGTCGACTGGGTCTCTAGTTCCGTCGAACGTTTCTATCAACGACGTTCAAAATTTCTGGGGAAGGGGGAAGTGAAGTACCTCTGGAGTGAATGGTGACTTTGTCTGCTGGACCAGGGCGTCCATGGTATCAGGGGTCCTTCCTTTGACCACTTCTTTCATGTTCCCAGCTCTCGTTGGAGTTCGCGGAGCTTTTCTTCTAAGTGATGGTTCGCGATATCTGGCGGATGGAAGGATCTGCCTTCTTGGAAGGTAGATCTAGCCCTGCTGTGGGCTTCGTCTTCGCTGCGTTCTTCTGGGTACCTCCTCCAACGATTTTCCTCGGAGTGGCTCCGCTCATGGAGCTCGGTGACTCCATTAGGCAGGGCTTGGCGCTCCTAAGGAGGAGCGTCCTGCTTGGCCTAGGGTGGGGGAGGTTCCTAACCTGTTGGCGGGAACTGAGGGAGCTGATGCGTTTGTATCCACTCCATCAGCTCCTGGTTCTGCCTTATTAACTGAACTATAGTTCGACGATAAGCTTCCAGTTTGTTGGGAGGAGGGAGGTTTGTCTCTAGAGGTCGGTCCTCGACGTCTCTTTCTGGGACCGAAAAGTTTTCTGGTGTGTTCTGATGGACTCAGGGATTGGCTGGAGCTTTACTCATGTTATGAGTAGAAACCATCAAGTAATCAACAGATTAGAAAAGAAATGATGAAAATCGTTCCCACAAACGGCGCCAACTGATGGTGCTCGAAATTTCTCGACCCAAGCCCAACCTATGGATTATGGTTGTTTGGTTCTTGCGTTGCGATGGATCTAGGAAATTAAACGAAAAAGAACACATAAAATAAGTGGTTCACCTTAGCCGAGGGACTAAGGCTACATCCACTGTAATGAAGGCTCTCGCTCCTGAATGCAGTGTCTTGAAGTTCTATGCGACTTAGTGAAATTACAAGTATCGAGCCGTTCCAGGCGAGGGTTCCTTTTTCCTTTCTGGGGATTTCTCTCTCTAGGGTTTTTTTCTCTGGTAAGGCACTGTTCCTTATATAGTGGTTGTTCCTCCGGAGATTCCTTATGACTTTTTCTGCCTTCCCGTCGACCCTGTGGGAACCTCCTGCTACTACCCTGCCAAAGTCTTCCATCCGCCGTTGCTATTGTGCCCACAATCTCTGGCCCTGAGTTCCACCATCCTCTTTGTCTGGGAGGATGCCGCAGTAGCTAATTTTAGAGATGGTCCCTTGTCCCTTGCACACGTGAGACGACAGGGTTGTTAAAGGGAGAGCAGTCTGTCTCCTTCCTGGGTCCTAGGTGGGCTAGTGTTTGATTGGGCCTAGGTTAGACAACCCCTTAGAACGTGCTTCCCTTCTTTCAACTGGCCAACCTATAAGAGACCCCCAGGCTGGGGGGGGGGGGTGGTTTAGTCTTCAGTTCGTCAATGGCCCAAGCCCAAAATCTCGTACCCATCAGATATANTTTAGTCCCCAGTTCGTCGATGGCTCAAGCCCAAAATCTCGCACCCATCAAGTGTAATACATTCTACCGCATTGATGCAGACTTAATTTGATATACCTTTGTGATGATCAAAGGGCAAACCATCAATTGGTATCGATTTGTAGCCTATGCTCTTCAGCACCAACCTGCAAACAGCAAGAGCACATGGCCACAATTAGTTAGTATCTAGTCCAGATAATGTGAATCAACCATTAAGAAGTCAAGACTGAAAGGATTACCAAGAGTTTCTCTTTTTTGCAGTTCAATTCACATTCAACTTATTCGGAAACTTGTGTGAAGGGGGGAAGAAAAGATGGAATTCAAATAATTCTATTTATTTTTCATCTCAGTAAGAGACTGACACAAATGTTTCAAAAGAATTTACCCGCATTTAAGGTCTTCAAATTGTCCTGTACCAACAGCAATCTGTTTCCCAGAGTGACCATTTTCTACAAATGAGACCAATAACACCACGTTAATTGCAAGGCACTAATGGATCCCCGCAATATGAAAATCCTTACTTTAATAAAGTGCACCCCTCGTACTCCCCCCACCCAATCCCCCTCATCAACATGTAGTTACAAATTTCACAGAGTAAGTAGTTATAGCCTTATAGGATTTCCATAGATAACCAATTTCTATTGTGGCATTATCTTTTTGTAGTAGGTATGGTGCTGACTACACGGGGCCGAGACTTAAGGAGTCAAAAAAAAGCAAGAAAATTACTTTCTGACTATGCCAAATCGTACCCAAACTTACACGCAGGAAGATTACCTCTGAGCATTGTCTTCTCTGAGTGCACACCAGCAACATGGCCTTTTCCCTCTTCTGAATCGAGAAATCTATCTGGTTTTTGAAAGAAAACAGAGTGGAGTTCACGTTGACCAGAAGTAGGATGGGATGGTCCTGAGGTGGCTGCCTTAGAGAGCAACTCATAAACCCTCCTCCGAATTCGATTATTCTTCAGTTCTTCCTTTGCCAAGTTACTACTACATACCATCAGTTGTGGGATCAAGATTATTTCAAATGAAAAGGAAACACTTGCTAATCCAGAACACTTAAAAAAAAAGAGACAAACCCATAGCTGAACACTAACTTTTTTTGTTTCCTATGAAAAGAAGGTTACCCCCACATTACTTCCTGTGAGAAGAAGCATATTGAGTTTTAGGGTGAGGAGACATACTTCATCTTCTGGGCTTTTAAGCAAATCAGCTTCCTAGATGTTTACATACAGATCTTTCATACCTTCAATGAGAAGTTAAAGCCTCTTAGAAACTTGAAGAAGTGATAAATAATTACAAGTGGAGCACAGAAGTTAACACTTGCAAGTTAAAATCAGATATTTGAATTATATATGAGTAGGCAATTATTAACTATGTGCGGCAATTTTGGGTGAGATTCAAGTGGATGTTTTTTACAGGGCAAAGCAAAATAACTATGTATTCCAAACTAAATCAATAGCTCAAAAAAACTGATCATGCCACAAGGTATGAAAGAGTAATTGGATTATAAGACCAATCATCTTGCACAGATGACTCGATGTCAGAGTTACCTAAAACTTCACGCAGCTCTTTTGTAGTACAGGCCGCTTGTACTGGTCCACGGCTTCCAACCAAATACACTTTCTTACAATCATATTTATGTATTTGAACACAATATATTAATGACCTAGCCAAAGAGATGCGTTTGGTATCAAGAGGGTGGATCATAGACCTAACAGAGCTCTCCTCCAGAGCAGCCAAAGCATGGAAGGCAATATCAGTTGTTGCCAATTCCATCGTTGGTCGTAAAAGGATGCGCGCAACATCAAGAGCTACATTGCCCTGAAAACATTGATGTAAGATAGTCAGAACTTGTTCAGGATTGAAGTGTTTGGCAACATCAAAAACTGTTCTATTCGCATTAAAGGAAAAAAACTTCATTCATTGTTCAAGCATTATAACCAGGAAAATCGATTGATACATATTTATCTAGCATCATAAGAATCCCATCCACATAGAAAAATTGACTAATGTCATATGCATATGTGAAGATACCTGACCAAGAATAACAGCCGTATCGGTGCTCTTTAAGTTTGGAGCCAGATTTCCGCAGTCTGGGTGCCCATTATACCACCAAACAAATTCTCTGGCAGAGTGTATCCCAGCCAAATCCTATAAGAATACAGAGGTATAAGAAGTATAAAACCATAAAGTTTGCAGATGGCATCATTAAGAATAACAAGTTTGTAGGACACTAATCCATAACAGTTAACAATGATTGATTGACACAGAGTTACAAATCCCATATCCTCATCCCCCACAACAATTCAGCGTTAAAAGCCAAATTACCACTTTTTATATAACTAGAGTCCCAATGAAACAAAAATCAATGCCAATTTCTGGAAACAAAAAACAATGGTAAATTATTCTTTGAAGATTCACACCTTTGTCTCGGGATGATCAGGTGCTACGCCAGACTAGACTAATCCATACGGAGTCGGCATTCTATCAATTATATCAACTTTCACTCTTTCATGGGCCTTCAACATCTACAATTTTAATTCAAAAGGCACAAAAAACATGTAAACATATAATGAAGAAAATAGTATCGTATAATTGAACATAACTTTAGGTTCACCAACAACGATATATATATAAAGAGAGAGAGAGAGAGAGATATTTATATATATATATATATATATATTAGTGGATGAGGAGAAAGTGATGAAAAGCTTTTCGAAAACAATTTCAGTGCTTTAAGAATCGCCATATTTGAATGAATGAAGCTCATACAGACTGTGAGGAAGCTCTCTCTTATCCTTGCTAGGGTTTCAGAAGCTCAACGGTTGGAAAATAGCATCAAAAAATTGAAGAGAGAGAGAGAGTGTTTAGGGATGAAAGCCAGTTAATTGGCTAGAATGCACGTTATGTGTTGCACTCAAAAGCCCATTTTAATTTGGGCCTGTCCCATAAAGAAAAAACCTTAGGCCCAACTAATTCGTACAATTAAATTAACAAATTTGAGTAGGACATCTATCTTCCGGGCCCTCTAATTGGAGTTATAATTGAAGGAACGCAAAATTGTGGGTAGATATCTTATGAATTACTTATTTGTGAAAAAATATGTTATTGAAAATTTAGCGTAGATAAGTACTTTTAGTTGAAAATGTCTTGTGTGTAGATACATATTTGCAGTTTTTAAAATATTTCCTTTATTGAAATACACTTTTCTATAACTAGTTGAAGCATATATACGTTGCACATAAATCATTTTGATTTTTGAATATAAATTATTCTATGTAATTATAGTAAAATACGTTACATGCAAATCATTTCGAGTATAAATTATTCTATGTTATTTTTTTATCAATATTTTGTTTATTTGAAAGTTTGGGACATTCGTAGAGTAATAAAGTTGCTATTAACAAATGAACTTTTTCTATTATATGGTAACGAAGATCCACAATTTGATAAAAAATATTCTGAGTCTAAGAGAGATAAAGGACTTACCATAAAAAAATATCAAATTATGCACCCACAACCACCCTAGAATGAATGCAATTGGACCAAATAACAAGATGTTTGCATTGTATTTGGATAGAACTTGTACATTGCGATTAGAAGTAAAGATATTTTGCTAATTTATATCATTTACTTGAATATCCTTCAACACTCAGTTTGAATCAACCTAAGAATTTCATTGACATGCCGGTAAGGTATTGAGCCAATATATGTACACAAAAAAAGAGAAAATATGTTGACCTGTATTGTATGCCATTGATTTATATTTATCCTGAGAGGAGAATCAAAACATATTATTCTCTTTTGATCATTGTTGCATACTCGCACTAATTATGATTGGAAGTATTATATCCATGGAAAAAGGGCAAACTGATATGATATAGAAAACACTAAAATCATAGATGCACTTACTGTAATTAGTCCTTTTATAACCAAGTGTTCTTTGAAAAGTAACTTAAAACTAATGTCAATGCAGAAGGAATTGCTCGGGTGAAGCTCCAAAAAACAAATGGACAATGAAATCCTTTGTAAAGAACTTTCGTTTTACCATGCCTTAGGTGACCTTCTTCTTTCTTTTAGCTTATCATTTATCTTACTTACTATCCTCTTTTAATTTTGGATTAATTACCTTCACACGAAGCTCTTCAGAAATCCAAAAACAATATATACAACAAGATCTTCAAATAGCATAATCACTATGACAAAATCACCACTACCTAGATCTGCATCATAGAAATTCAATTTACTCAAAACATATTTCGGCAATGAATTCAACATCTAAATATATCAAACTCAATGCATTCCAAGTACAAAAACATCAATAAAAAATAGAACTTACAAGACTGACTTTAAGAGTATTTGGGATGCTTTATACACTATAGTGAAAATTGATGCATTTGTGACAACACAATGATTTTGAAGGTTCACGAGCTTATCTTGAGGATGGAATATGCTTAGGTTAGGTTGGACTATGCTGCTGATTTTACTATGTAGAGAAAAAGTGAGTCGAGTAAATGCCCAGTTGACTGTACTTTTTCTGGCCAACTAAAACATCAAAAATGTTTGTCCTATATCCCGTCAAACACCTTGTGATAACAAAACTTATAACTGCAATGATAAATATAAGTTCTGAGTACAAAAAAAATATGCGCACAAACTGAGAGAATAGTAACTATGCCTTTATGGCTACATTATACATAGACAAGCTAAGTAATTCACATGTACCACTAAAGAAAAGATCATTGAATCCTACAGAGACATGAAATGAAGTTTATAGCAACATATTTATTCCTAGACTTACCGACCAAAATACATCAGATTCCTATTCACTTCACCAAATTAAAAGCTGTTTGCATAACCAAAAAAAGGGTACACTAACAACAGAGAGAAAGAGAGAGAAAAAGGGTCAAAAGCCATTATCATCTAGTTGATTATTATAGGACAATATAGATGTCCAACCAATTTAAACATACAGAAAACCAATATCCAAACAATAAATAAAAATCCAATTCAAGAAAGTTCACGACAGACTATTTCAAGAAGACTATTGAGAGAACCAAATCCCAAAACAGGAAAACAAACGGGAAACTCAAAACATAAACAAAATTAAAAGAACAACATAGATTTTATGAGAACCTGAACACTATTGTGGAGATGATTTTGTTGTTGATTTTTGGTTTTCTTCTTAACATCTTTTTAAGATTTGGTCAACTGTACCACTTTTTTTTTTAGTCAAATTCGAACCAAAAAAGATGTAAAATAGCCACAAAAATATTAATATCACCTAAATAAAGAAAAATGGTTTTGAAGGCTCACTTAGAGAATTGTTGAATTGAAATCATTTTCAACAACGATGGCTGGGCACCTAAACATTCAGATCTTTAGAATTGGTGCCCGAACATTCAAATTTTTAGGGGAAGATTGAGGCATTTGAGAGGGAGCGTTATGTCACACCCCCACCCCATATCACATAGGGTGGGCGGCGGACCGGCTACCAAAGCCTTCACCAATCAACCTTGTCCATAATAAATACAAAATACAGTGAAAGGCAAATAATAAAGTGATTCAATCCATCGACTTAATGAATACCAGAGGAATAAACTAAACATCACAGATGTCATTATTAAACTCATGTAAAACAGTAATTAAACCATAAGGTTCACTATTCTAAGCATAAACAACATCGTTCTCAAAATAATTGAATATTTGTCTCAAAATTATAAAAGACATTTATTCCTGAAAACCTATAATAAAATAAATCTTCAATTCTTCTAATCTCTTGTCTATCTAAGGACTTACTCCTCCCCCTAATCCTCACATGAAAAATGTTAAATGTTTGGATGGGCACAAATGTAAACAAAATGATCTCATGATTATAAATAATTTTATAAATAAAAAGACATTTATAACCCAAACACCCACTCATTTTCACAAATAACTTTATAAATGAAAAGACACTTATAACCCAAAACACTCACACACATATTCAATCTCAAATACATTTGTCAAATCATGTTTGTTACCACTAGTCTAGTAACTGACCGCATCTCTTGTCATCACTAGCCTGATGACTGGCTTTGTCTCTTGTTACCACTAGCCAAGTAACTGGTCCCGTCTCTTGTCATTACTAACTTGATGACTAGCCCTTATGTGCACATCCCTATACCGACCAAGCCGGTATACAATCTCGTTACCATTTAGACTTGGTAACCCAGTCCCCCATCTCATAAATATGATTTTCACACACACACAAAAATTGTAGTTTTAGTCCCAACGAACACAAAATATCTATTTCATCACTAAAATACATTTAAGAAATGATATAAAATCATCCCACAAAATTTTCAAAATTCACGAGTATAACAGTTCACCGTTGCAAAACATATATATATATATATATATGAAAAATCCACACGCACGCACCCACACATTTAATATAGAAAATCCTCCCAAAAGAAGTAGTAAACTACTCACTTTGATTCTCGAAATTCATTTCAAAGCCCTCTTTCTCAACCTCAATCAATCACCATTTAATTCAAAATAACATAAAACGATCAATTCTTATTCTTAATTTTGTCATTCTGTGATTCTATATTTATTTTACGTATTTCCTTCCCATTGATATATACCAAATTTATATCCTTTACATATAATATATTCTTTCTAATATGAGGTAATAGGGTATAGAAGTAGTTTGGGCTATTTAGAAAAAGTTTGTAAAATTTTGGGGTCAAATAATAATTTTTAAACCTTTTGGGGTCAAATTATAATTTATTTGAAAAACGAATTTTCTACTTTCAAGACTGCCATAAATTTTTTAAAATTCTATTCTTCCAATTTACCAAGTAAAACAGTGATTAAAATTAAATTTCAAAGAATATAGGGGTCAAACTAAAGTTCCTTGAAGTCAAAGGGGTAGATTATGTAATTTAAGACTTTGTTGTCTTCCACCAACGAAGTCCTCCGGCTTGTATATTCTGTAAGTTCAAAATCAAATCCCTTTTTCTTTTTCTACCCAACACATTGATTAAACTTAATCAATTCTAAACAACTATAAATTTAAAAGTTCAGTCTAATAACTTCAATAATCAACAAGGTACCACGATATATATATATACACCAACATTATAAACCCTACACCATCTAACTAAATAATAGTATAAAACTCATAAGAGAAATCAAGTCATACCTTTAATGGAATCAACCCATTTTTTTTTTCTTTTTCCTCCTTCCTTCTCTTTCTTTCTCTCTCCCTTAAGCTGCCTCTTTCTTTCTTTATTTCTTC